AAATTGCGAAACTTATTGATAGAATTGACACATACTATGTCTAGAACAAGAGAATAAAAACAAATTATATTTTTATTAAACACTACCGGGTCGAAATCGCGAGCAAAAGCTAGTAATTTATATAGGAGAGGTTTTATTTAGTAAAAAATAGGTTATGTCAAATTATAGGTTTTGTTTGATTAAAAATATAATTTAATTGATTTTGACTGGTTATAACCTTAACATTCACATTTTAAGAAGAAAGGCAAAAGAAAAAATGAATCTGTTTTACGATTGCATTGCACCATCACTGTTTTCTCATTTTCCCGCCGGCATCATAATCCAAAGTCATTTCAGCACACATTGTGCGATCACCCAACAAACATCGACCTGTAAATATCGTAAAAATGACATTTACGAGGCGAAGGCGAATACCGAACGAACTTGAAGGTAAACACGAAACGCACGGAAGCGCATAAAGCCGTACACAAAAGCCGCCGGCGGCGGCAGGCAGGAAGACACGGATTTTATGATTATGTATTATTTACAGGGCAATTATCATATGTAAGGGTAGTTATTAAATGCGATGGCATCAAGTTCCACGTACAAACGTACAACATGTCATCACCGGCAAATTAACAATAAATAACGTGTTTCTGTGGGAATTTACGGACGGAATTTTCTGTTACAACAAAACTAATGGAAAATTTAAGTGAAAAAAAAAATTGAAAAATATTATTTTTATTATAGATAAATATAAAACACACGTTTCGAAAATAACGTCATGTACAATTCTATTTTATGTTCGTAACTGGTTTTCCTTCGCAAAAGTCTTTCGTACGTGTATTTAAATTTAAATATCTACAACAAAAACTTCGTTTTTATGGTCTGGCTTTGACATAACCGTTTATAGCAGCGCCTTTTTGTAGTATAATCGTATTTTAAGCCTCACGCTCGCACTACCAAAAACAAAAAAGAATCTCTTTGCGCTTAGATTATGAAAACAGCGAATTTACGCGGCTTAACAACGTTGAATTCCGAAAGTTTGCAAAACAACAAAATGTAAATGAAAAGAAAGAAGAAAACACCATTAAAAGATTCAACAATTTGCATGCCAAAAAATCGACTTTCCGGAAGCAAAGAAAATACGTAATGAAGAAGAAAAAGTTTTTGAATTTATTTAGAACTTTGTTAAATATTTAACTAACACTTTTTTTCTGTTTGCTTTGTTGCTGTAATTTGCATTGTACACGGATTACATGAGTTATACCAGAATAATTATGCAACCAAGAATGCATGCAAAATAAAACACAATAGAATAAAAAAATGATTTAAAACGGGTGTGTTGATTATTTAATACAAATCTAAATATAATATTAAATATGTTAAAAATGAAATGTTTTTTAGTTGCCTAAGCAATGATTCTGAATCCAATTTCTGTAGCATCTTTGATATTTTTATTCAATTTAGAAATATTCTAACGGATTACATGAGTTATACTAGAATATTTAGGCAACCAAGAATGCACAATGACCAAAACACAATAAAATAGAAAAAAATTAATTAACTGCATATTATTCATGACTTAAAATGAATGTGTCAATTATTTAATATAAATCTAAATATAATATTAAATACATGTGCAAAATAAAATGTTTTCTTGGTTGCCTAAGCAAAAAATGATTTTGAATCCATTTCTGTTGATTCTTTGATATTTTTATTCAATTTCGCAATATTCCAACGCATATTGTATATATAATAAATTACTTTTCATCAAGTTTGCGCTTGTTTGGTGCTGTTTGCATAGCGAATAATGTTGAGCTGAAATTTAATCGAACGTATCTAATTTAATAATCCGATCGATCGCATTGAAAATTGCGTCCGACGTTTGCGCGCTTTCTATTTGCGGAATGCGCGGAATTTATCGCTGCCAGTCAAAGTTATGTCGGGGCACACTTGTCGGATTTCCAATTACAATTACAATTTTAATTTGCTGCCTCTTGATGACCGCGCGCGCCCCTGTCAGCTGCCACTTCAGGGCCGACTCGAAGTCGAAGTCGACTCGCAAGAAGCTGTGCCAATTAGTTTTCCAATTGGAAAGCGTAACAAAGTTACATTACAATTTATCTAGATGAGAGCATTCAGCATCCCGTTTTACTTCAATGTATATAGATATATAACATTTAGAATTTCAGCGTCACAAGCGTAGGAAAGTGAAGAAGAAAAAAAAACACAGGAGAAATGAAAAGTCAAGACTTATGAGCGAGTGGGCAGCGTTCAATTATTTTTTTATTTATATCTTGTCGAAAAGGGAATCAAGTTGGGCGAGAAAGTATCGTAAAAGTGCTATTTGTTGATCAATTAACTTTTTTTTATATATTTAAGATAGGGTTTTTAGTTTGTTGTGTTTTTTAGGTTAGAAAATGTAATTTTTTATTTTAGGTTAAATCCAACAGTTTTTAGGTTATGTTGGTTACCAATTTACCTTTTGTAATAACTACAAGAACAAAACGTGATTAACTTACGAGTGTATACCTGAATAAAAGTACAAACTCCGTAACTGAAACAGGAAAACAGGAAGAGAAATTGAATCTGAAAGTTCAGAGTTAAAGTTAAAAGCAAAAACCTGCCGCCCAGCGCTTGAATGTTTTTTGCTCGTTTTTGCTTTCTGTTTGAACGAACCAGACTCAATGTTCCTAAAGTATCCCGAGTATAGTGCTCCGTTTGCTAAATGTGCAAACGAATTCGGAACGGGGCCACAGCGCACATTTACGCAAATGCGCATAATTAAATACGATTGTCCGGGCCGCGAGAACAGAATCATTATCCTTGCCAGGGCTAGGGCCCCTTCGGGCAGGCAACGAAGCGCGAGAGCCGCCTGTTGCGGTGGGTGGGGGTCGGTGTGGAGCGCAATGTCCGTGCCCTTTTGTGCGCGCGCGTTTATTCTGCATTGTTCCGCTAAATACTTCGACAAGCACACCGCTGTGTAACCATCTAGAACAATACGAAACATGTCGTACATGAGAGCTACCAGACTATTTCATCAATTCAATACAATTACAGGGTTTAAAATCGCTTAGTATATAAGGAGATAATATTTATTATGCTGGGTGATGTATAATGTGTTGCATAACTTACCTTTTTTTTACAAATAACTGTCTTGGCGAATATTAATTGAATTTCAGTTATTCTCGTTATAAAGACAAAGAGAATACGTAGAATGAAATCATATTTACTTTATTGATAGAAATCTAAATTATTTGCGAAACATACGCGTAGTTGTCTACATTTTGCATGACCTGTCAAACGATGACATAACATAACATAACCTTCAAGAAAATATATCTTTCTTCCTATTTCTTTAGCTTTTTCGATATTTTAATAAATATTCTGCCACTGACAAGCGGAAATAAATCTAACAAATCTAAAGGTTACAAAAAACAAGTCTTATATTATCTTAAACTAGCTTTTGTCCGCGACTTCGTCCCGGTAGTGTTTAATAAAAATGTAATACGCTTTTACTCTCTTGTTCTAGACATAGTATGTGTCAATTCTATCAATATGATTCGCAATTTTATTTTAAAGAAATTAATTATATAAAGAATTGCTAATAATGCATTTCAGCGCGCCATCTCGGATTCAATGATTTAACTATAACTATGATCGAATCTCAATGCCAACTTTTATCCAATAGAAAAGGGCTCTCTTTAGGGTCTTCCCGGCAATTATTCAAATTTTTCTTGCCGTAAAAACCATCCTTGGACTTAAACGAACATTTAAAAAAAAGAATTGGCCAAATTGGTTAAGGCGTTATTGAGTTATGCGCTTACCAACAGATTTTGCGATTCATTTTTATATTATAGAAATATCGTAATGATTTGCGTCATATACACGTAGTTGCCTACATTTTCAATGACCTGTCAAACGATGACATAACATAACATAACCCTCTACAAAAAATCTCTTTCTTCTAATTTTTTTTACCTTTTTTCAATGTTTTAATAAATATTCTGCCACAGACAAGCGGAGATAAATCTAACAAACCTAAAAATCATAAAAAACAAATAGTATATTATCCTAAATACAATTTTATTATTATTTTAAAGACTTCATAATACAATATCAATATAAACTTTATTCAATAAAGAAAAAACTTCTTAATGACTTTGCAAACTTTCCAGAACACTTAATATAATCGATTATTAATTACTAAATTTCAACTGAAAGCTCTCTCGCAAAATCCCATCATCCCTACTTTGCAAATCGATACTTCCAACAAACCCTGCATTCAAACACACACCCTGAATTGATAACAATGAAAAATGATGAGAAAATAATCATCCTGCTTTTCTTTACATTTTTTACATTTTCATTATTTTCAGAAAATATTCCTCATCCTTTTACTTTACTTCATTTTACCTGAACACAACTTCTAGGAATATAATACACCCATTGTTTTTTGGTTGTATTTCAACGCGACTCGATGTCATTTAAACGAATACAAGCGATTATTTATTTAGCGCGCCCCGTGCATGCCCGCCGCAAGCGCATGAAATGTGTCATGAATGTCATGTAATCGTGTAAGACTTGCTTTGTTGATCATGTTCGTCGATCGACCTGTTCCACATGTGTCTTGCTATTTATTAATACTTCAAAAAGGTAGCTAGATGGAAAACAATACCGTAATTTGTTTTTCGTGGTTTTTTGTAAGAAAAGTAATAAATATCTTTCAATCTTTATGTGATTCAAAGAATATTAATCATTCTTAACGATTTTATATCGATGTATGCCAGAGTATGTAGTTTTTACGCTTTGGGTGATTTTGTTTCGGAGATAAAAGGCCAATAACTCCACCGACCCCACAAACCCACATCAGTTTATTTCTTTGAAGTGGGTTTCTTTTGAACTTGGATGGGTTCTGTTGTTTGTTGTTTGAGATGCTTGGAGTAATTTAAAAATCAATTCCAAGCATACATTATTAATAACGATTGTTTTATATAATTTTTTCTTTTTGATTTCAGGAATCAACAAAAACTTCTATGAAACTTGAGAATTGAGGTTAGAACAATGCGGAAATCAAGCGTGCAACTCGTAACACAAACATCGGAACCCTTGATTGTGGTCGATGAAGACAAAGATGGCGAACGTAAAGATGAAGACAACAGTTCGGAATCATCCTCGGAAGACTCGCCAGCGTCACATTTCCAAAACCAATTCCTTCTATCACCATGGCGTGACGCCCGAGAAACACGAAAGTTATCTCTACCATCCCCGCAGTGCAGTGGCATCACCGCCAGTCAAGTACGACGGTTAAGCGAGCGAGGTGAAACCGGCGCGGGTCCTGGTCCCCGTCAAACTGAATTCCTTGCAACGCTCTGCCAAACACAAGGGCCGATCCCCAGCGGCCGCCGCCACTCGGTGGTTACCATCTGTAAACTTCCCTCTGCACCTCGTTCTCGTCGTGAAAGTGTCGCAGTGTGTGGTCCGGGACGTCTGCTCGGCAGTCGTCGTGAAAGCGCCGTCGGTCCTCCCAGTACTGAACCACGTGGTTCAGTACATAACCTACAATTGGATATTATGGATGATATTGTGCAGAGTCGTAAAGTACGTTTGAAAATGTGGAATACGAGCAACGAGCGTGTCTGCGAGGTGAAGGACGAAGCCGGCGCCGTGCAGAAGTACACCGGTAACCGACGCTACTCGGACTTCGTCGGCACAACGCTCGCGCCGATCCCGAGCAGTTCGCGCCGGCGCGCTAGCGAGTTGCCGCCGACACCACTACATCCCTCCACTACAACTCCTGTCGCTGTCGCCGCTGAGGAGGCTACACGTAAGCAAGCACGCGCGCCGGGCATAGTCTGTTCAAATACTGATCTCATTTCTATTTTGTCCAACCTGACCGCGTCGGCGACGGAAATCGATCAGTGCGCGAGGCAGCCGACGAAGGAGGAGACCCGCCCGCATATTAGCGTCGCCGCCAGCACCAGCTGCGCGAGCACGTCGGCCACCGCCAGCAAAGTGGAAAAGAAGGGCTGGGAGACGCGTCGCGCCCGTCTACGCACCAATCGGTCGAACAGCTTCGATGCGTCCGTCTTGCATCAGGTGCAGGACCAAAGCTCCGGCTCGGAGTGGTTTGCGCGTCGTCATCAACCGATGGCCGCCAAGGAATCATCGCAAGCGCATGCGCAGACTACTAACACAAAACCCAATGAAACGGAAGCAGGCCGTAAGTCCCCGAAAGTAGTCTGGGACGATCGCAGTGGTTCCGTAGTGGATGCACATGTCTTGGGTAATGCCATCGAAGACTTTCTACGTCGCGACTCCCAGCAGAGTCTTGTCAGCCAGCCGCCGGCGAAGAAGTCGCCGCAGGCGCAGGCCAAACCCAAGGGATGGTTTGCGTCCGCCCGCGGTCAGGATGCCGATGAGGCGGGCCCAGCGGGCGCTACCTGTGACTCTTCCATCTGCGCGACGCTCAAGGATCTTTTCGTTAAATAGCTACTATCTGCTTTCTTCGAACAACTTTAACCATAACATCAACATCATTACTCCAAACAATCTTCTATCATCATATCATTTATTCTATTCTATTTCTTTCGTATCGATCCTTTGAATAGTTGAATATTTGATAGATTTGTGTCGCGTCGCGCAAGTCGCACCGGTCGGACTGATTGATTGATGCTGGTCTCAGTGGTTTCGTCGTGTTTAACCTAGCATTATACGATTTATGTGAAAATAAATGAGCCTAATACGTCAGCGGTAATTGTATAGCAAAATAACACAAAGTTTACACAAGAATCTTATTATCTGTAACATAGGCAACCAACATAACATTAAAACAGTGTTTATGGTTGCCTATAGTCATCTTCAATCCAAAAAAATACTCTGAACAGGCGTTATATCGATTATATCACGAAGGAGAGAGTTTACAAAGGCAGACTTTATATTATACATAATATACCTTAATATATATTACGTGGAACAGGCTGGTGAGAGAGTACACTGAGTACGCGACGAGTACAAATTGTCTATCGCTCTAATCCCGCATTACGCTAATAGCACTAATCATCGTCTAGCTCTAGTTGTGGGAATTATTCTGCGCGGAATTAGCGTTTATCTGTTAAGATGTAATGCGTGTAATGCGTGTTTAGACTAAATGTCATTGCATAATGTCATCCCTTTATCGCAGTTGCAAAACTTTTATTCGTTTCCATTTAATTAGCAACCACATAGCTAGTTTCGGTTAAAATTCACTATCTAATTATTCATCGTGAACAAACATTATTTATGCACATAATGAATGGGTATTCTGGGTGTGTCGAATGTCAAAACTTTAATAGCAATTACAATTAGCTGTTGTTAGCCGTTGTATTGTGGGTTGTCGACTACTTTTTGAGTCGTTTTATATTTTAAATTATAATAGCGCCAATCGATTAGTTTCGATTAACTGTAGAAAAATATTGGGTGTATTTTTATAGTAGAATATCTAGCGTAACTCCAAGGACCACAATGTATCTGAATCATATTACGTAGTCATTCAAAATCTAGCTGTTGATGAATATAATATATTTATTTTTGAGAAATATAAAGAAAATCCAAGATATTTTCAAATAATCCACCTATATGTGTGAAGAACAATGCCAAGATTATCTAGTGATTAAAATTTGATGAAATTTATTGACACAGACAATCTGACAGACAAATTAACTTGTCCTCGGCAACCGATTTGTTTTCCGCAACCAAGTATACACAATAAGTGCGTCTAAAGTTATATAACTTCCATTTCTAAATATATTTTAAGAAATATCTCTGAGTGGACTTTATAAACAAGTGTAATAGTAAAATATGCAACAAAAAATGTGTAAATGGTCGGAAATTATCACAAAAATACTAAATCTATGTGAATTATACGAATATCAATGTAATTAGAACTGATATCATCACACACACACACAAAAAGCATAAATTAAAGGTTAACGTGTTAACAAAATAATGTGTATAGATTATTGCATATGAATATGAATATATAAATAAATAAAAATGATAATGCAGGATAACGATGATGCGCAGACGAGAAGCAAGTATTCTAAAATAAATAAAAAGCGTTATATTCCATTAGTTAAATTTTAACGAAAAGTTAATATCAACTATTATGAACGATGATTCTATATAATATATGATGAAAGCACTCTATTAACTGTTGACATAGATAATGGCCGCGGGCGCTTGATGAGTTCGGAGAAACTCGAATATATATGTATATGTGGTGGTGGTGGTGGTGGGGGAGAAATGAACGCATGTGCATTTTACCCAGCATGCCGTAATATTAATTGTAAACCACCCTTGGGCGCTGTCTGAGAGCGACACAATTTCATAATTACAATCTATAATTATCATTTACATTACACAACATCCATGGGAACATGGAATTCAGACTTGGGAGTTGATAATTCTTAACCGGCGCCATTTTGACGCATAAATCAGCAATGATTTTACTGTTTTTGCATTTTAGGCAACCAATTGCTCTTTGTAGAACATAAATAACAAAAAATTAATGTTAAAGCTTAATTTTCTGATATAAATGAATGTTTTAATGAGTTCTAACCTCAAATTTGACGCAAATAACCAAGAAATTAACGTATAACCTATAAATTTAATTTTTTTGTTTCTATAGGCAAAATTTTCATTATTACACCAAAATAATGAAAATATAGTTTGAATGAAAGATTCTCGCAGTAAAATTCACAAACAAATGTGCTGGTGCAAATAAAATGGCGGATAACATCATTGGAGCGGAAGCAGTAAAAACGCGCGACCAAATGTCGATTTGGTGCAATGCAATCAAACGCATGAATCAAAAACTAATAAAAGTCGAAATATCAAAATAATTGCATAATTAAACTCTGTCTGTGACTCTGTGTTTCATTTACCTAACGATTTAATCTTCAATATGCACGTTTCGTATGTTTGACGCATTGGAAAAGTGATGAGTGAGATACCTATATTTAATTTTAAACGTAATAACATTTATAAGGACAGTGTAATAAAATGTGTCTCCCAAAAGTATTAAATAAAGATGTGATGTTTGTTAAATTCCGTCGTTTTGAATGCAATGTTGTTGTTTTTTTTTCCAGATGAAAACAGAGTTAAAATTTCTTTGAAATAAAACAAAACTGCTTTTGTGTGGGTTTGTAGGTTGATATTTGTGTTTTTATTTAGAGAATAAAAACGCAGTTGTAGTGTGAGGTTGAAAAGAAGCAAACAGTAGTATTAAATTATACGACGTTGGCGTGACACGCCGTTTTCTGTACACATGAAGAGTGTCATCGCGTGAAAAATAAAAGGATAAAATATTTACAAACGAATGTTATTCCGTTTTACATGCAAACAAATAGATTTTAAATTATAACTTTGTATGCCGAAGTAATTCATGCAAAATGTGTCAAAACAATTATTTCTTTTTTGTTTTTAACAAACAAATTTACTTAATTACCAATATTCTCGTACGAGTACAACAATGTTCAATACTTATACCGCAACTCAAACCATATTACCCTCAATCTTATTTCATGTATTATCGAATAAACCAGTTCCGTTCGTCAATTGATTCCATTGAGAATGATACAACTTTCTGTTTGCTTTCTATTACCCTCAAAAAACAAGGCATGACCCTTAAAACACCAAAAGTACACACATCGACAGTTGTTCTTTGCTCGACTTTTCGAGCATCATCAATAATGCACACTGTTTTTACCCGATATCGATTTAAAAGTTTGTCGCGACACGTTTCCCCAAGGTCTGAAAGTCTGCCTCAAAACTTTTACATTTGGCACTCAATGTCACAATCACACCCTTTGACCCACCCAGTCCTCCAATATTCCACGTGAGTACATTTAAATTGTGGGTGGAATCATGACAAATACGAAATCATTATTAAACTCATTAATTATTCCACAAGAGTTGTCTACAGCAATACATTTATACTTTATAGGAGTGAAATCACGCAAAGTACATTAACTTTCGATACTTTAATAGATTTTCATATTTATGTATGTTTTTATTATATTGCAAGCAAAAGTAGGCAACACACATTACACAAATCTGCGCATTGAAAAAATTTTCGCAAGAATTTAGCATAAAAACAATTAAAATCGAATATTTAAACTACCGAAATATTTTTCTTGTTTTACAACACAACTATAATACATTTATTAACTATAAATGAGTTTTATTTAAAGAATCATGAATGTTTTATTATATAATCGATTTTCTTCAAATTTATATTGATGTAATATTGATTATTAAAAATTAAGAGAAAAAATGTACAGCAATTATGAATAACTGTATATAACTTTAAATTCCTGGAACATATATCCTTCCGGATGATTTTTAATCAAAAGTTGTCTATCTTTCCGGAAGCTGAATTGATTGAAACGCGGATGCAAGCATAAAAATATTGAAGACTTCAAAACTGGGTTTCTATAAGATGTCAAGGACATCCAATACATAAGCAATACTATTCAATCCCTGTGTGGAGTTGTGATGTTTCCTATTGTTTGTTATTCGATTTGAATTGTGGTTTTCGTAGCAGGTAGAATTATTGAAAATGTATTTGGAGGTTAGATTGATAAACCAATGTGTGTAAACTGTGTACTAAACCACGAAAACAAATTTAGTATGAAAACGACAACAAATCGATGTGAAGCGTGCGTCCAACCACAAAACAAAGTTAACTATTACCTACATTTTACATACATGTGACATTTATAATGAAATACGAACAGGTATGATTTTTCAACTCGCCAGGGAGTCATATTTGAAGTGTGCGCAGTAAGTACGTCGACGATTTGCAAATATTACAATACAGTAGCGTTGTGTGGCGTCGTTGTAAGTTGTAACCAACCGGGATAACAAATCGCAAACGTGCCTCCCGCACGTACAGACCATGGACGATAAAATAAACTTTACGACACACGGCAACATATATTGCGCAGGAGGCAGACATGTAATCGGACCAACTGCTTTGTTTAATCCTTGTGCGCGCGGATGTGGAAAACCAAACGCATGCTGCGTTCGAGTCTGGAATTTGCGATTTTAGTTTGTTCAGGTTACATTACTTTTGATATAATTTGTTTAAATGCTACACATGACACACGGCAATATCAGTGACTGCGGAATATTTATACGTAAATATACAGGATATTTCTGACTTTCACTATATATAAATGTTACATTTTTCATTACAGCCAATGAAAATAAAATAAACTGATTCTGCGCGTAGTACAACACAACCAATGTGTCAAAAGCGCTGTCAGATGTCAAATCAATGTCAAACAACATAACATTTTCAGAAAACTTGTTTTTCTTTAAAATTTTCTGATTGCAATAATATTTATAATGCAAACAAAAGAAACTAGCTTAACACAATAGATTTTAACTATTCAATGACTTATAAGCAGATGTATCCTTTAAAATACCCTGTATGGTAGCATTACTAATGTATTTTGATTGTGATGTTGAGCTATGAAGCAATGGCTGCTATGCGAAACCCGCAACCTTGGATAACGACGTAGGTTAAGAGCAGCGCGGGGCCACCGACAATACAACATACAGTAACGTTATAATATACAATAACAAAATTATGTTGAACACGAGAGTTAAAACGAGCCAATCCTTCGAGAACTGCTTAATGGTAATTATCAACTCCAGTATTAACCGAGTATTGCTTATAAACTAGTACTACACTACCATAATAACAATACAATTAAAAAACGACAATATTTCTATTTTTGCATGAATCAGAAAAAAAAAACGTAAATATCAAGTAATTCAATATTTATTTAGAGGAATGTATGACTTTTTTTCCAAGAATATCAATTACTTTTATAACTCCAATATGTGGAAACGTTTTTTTTTTAATGTCATAAATAATATTGATTTACCAACGACTGCTTATCATATTTGTATTTCCGAGCAACAGCTTAAAATCTGTTGATGTTTTCTGATTAAATATTGAATTTACAGTATTATTCAATAAGTTATTTTGCCAATGATTGATACAAGATAAAACGATGTTTAGAGTGTTTTCATGGTTAAATCGTCAACTTGAACCCGTGAATACCTTTTGGTTTGCCGATTGCGCTTGAAATTTGTTATGTCACCTCATGTTTTGGAAGGTTTAGGTAAAAAGGAAGGCGCTGGCTGAAATTTCAATCAAGCGGTTTGCGCCGTTTTCATGATCCAACCTCACAACCCACAGAACTACATCTCATTGGGGACACGAGTATGGTTATTCAACTCGACACTAATTCATCTATTCACCAACCAGGCAAACACTACATGCCGCGCCAGGTCTTTGCATAAATCGTTAAATTTACCACATTTGCACACACAGAGTCACCTGATTTCAGTGAATACAGGGCACTTATTATGTTGAATATTTTTTGTTACATTTTCGACTTTAGTTTGATACAAAATTGAATAATTTATAATTACAAATTATTTATCGGTGTTAATAAGTAAAAATAGCTTTAATTAAATTCAGTGTGTGTTAATGGGTGACTTTTTTATGACCCTGTGTGCAGAAACCGCTGGTTGTCCGCGAATTGCGATTAGCGCTGGCGTTAGTAATGGTTAGGAACACGATCCGCAATGGAATATTCCATTCGCGGCGGGGCGTTTAGTAGCAAATGGTGAATACTCGCGTTTGTTATTGCATCACCATCATTTGCCGTAAATCCGGTGTCTGCCTTTAAAATGCTTCTATCGCTTCTAACTCTTCGACATTCCAGCCGCAGCGTGTCGCTCGAATTACCTTCTCACATAATCCCACGCCGTGTAATACAATGATGCATCAAATTATGCCTGATTAATGCGGCTAAAAATTCAGTTTCAAACATGAGGCGCAATGCGTCAAGATTAAATCACTTTATTTAACATTTAACAAAAATCATCGCCGGTTATAGAAATGAAATGACCGGCCCACGACTCTGCCGTTGGCCGCTCTTAGCTCTAATTTTGTGGAACACCCAGTTTAGGACTGCTTAATTTATTATCATACAGATGCGGATTTTATGAGTACTAAGATTCTAAACATAATTACCATAAACGTTACCACTAACGTTAAATGCGAGTAAAAATGCAAACGAAATCGAATGGTAATTAAAAAGAATCACATTCAGATGACAGAACAAAGTCCTCCTAGATTTCACACACGCAACGCTGGTCACTAATGAACTGTTTTTCGACAATAAACGTGACTTGAGGTGTAATAAATTCCTCGTTTTTTTAGCTCGGAATGAATCGTGTGCGGGTGGTACAAAATGACTACCTTTTTATCATCGAATTTTGTTATTTTGTTATTTAAAGAGTATTAAAATAATAAAAAGTTCTTCGAGACTGGGAACGGGGAAAACAGTGGAAACAGTGTTGTGGTGTGTGTGTGTGTGTATGCTGTTTTTACAGTTGACCGGAGTTGTCGATCGAAAGCTTTTTGCTTGTCTTGCCGGACTGGGAGCCGAAGCCCTCCATCTTCTTGACAATTTCCAAGCCCTCTACGACCTGGCCGAAAACGACGTGCTTGCCGTCCAGCCATGTGGTCTTGGCGATGGTGATGAAGAACTGCGAACCGTTCGTGTTGGCGCCGGCGTTGGCCATGGACAGGATGCCAGGGCCGGTGTGCTTTAGGGAGAAGTTCTCATCGGCGAACTTCTCGCCGTAGATGGACTTGCCGCCGGTGCCGTTGTGGTTGGTGAAGTCACCACCCTGACACATGAAGTTCGGGATGATGCGGTGGAAGATGGAGCCCTTGTAACCGAAACCCTTCTCGCCGGTGCATAAGGCGCGGAAGTTCTCGGCAGTCTTTGGCACAACGTCGTTTCTCAACTGGAATGAAAATAAATCCCAATTGTAGATTAATCAGCACATGGAAAAGATAGCATTAACTTCGAAGGCGGCAACAGAAAACAGAAAATTTCAATCGCGAGGTCTCACCCAAGAAGCACGTTTTTATTTTATCACGTTAGCCGTGAAACGTTATCGCATAACTATGGATTTAAATGATTAAAAAATGGTTGGATGTAGTAAAAAATCAGAAATCACATGCGAATAATGCGCGAATTAGCTATGACTTGCAAAAACGAAAAGCCGGTCGGCAAATGGCGTACCAAACCGCGTGCGGGAAAACGCAGAAACCGCGTGTAATAAACTTGTTTGTAACGTACCTCCATAACAATCCTGCCAAGAGCCTGGCCGTCAGCGGAGACATCGAAGAAAACGCGTGGCAAACTCATTTTTTCAGAGAATTGTCGAACTTGTGAGACGACAGACAACGGACTAATGCTTGATCCACGAACGAGCGCAGCGGCGGTGTAAGTGAGTGTACCGGCTCTATGACGGAGTGCGAAGAGGGCCATGATGGCGGAAGTGACTGCGCTGATCGGCGCAGGGACGCTCGTTCGGTCGACGCCGCTATTTTCTCTCCCACTACGCGGCAAATCACACCAGCAAGCCGGCTAAGACCTTTGATTTATTATTAAATTGTAGCCCCAACACCACTCAACAGTGTTATCTATTAATATGCATATATAATGTGACTTTTAACCTGTTATTACATCACATGTTGCGCAAGCACAAACAACGCTTGTTAGTTGCTTACTATCGCAATCAAGCTTTGAATTTCCCGCGCCAAACAACACTTTTTGTTTTTAAATAAAATGGACGCAATTTGTTGCAATATAATATATTTATTATTAAATTGCACGTTGCGAAAATGTGTCTGAACGTTAGGATGGTTTAATTTATACTGGAGCTGCTAATGACTTTAAACGTAACTAATGAATTTAAAAATAGATACCGGAAATATGCATCGGCCATCATTGGATTCTCGTGCTTGTTCGTACGTTTTCGTATTTGAATACGTCGCTTGCAGCGCTTTCTCTCACTGACGGCAACGACAAAAACTATTCAAATATTCGGCGTCCATTACGTAAATCAGCTGAACCTCAAATTAATACGTTGAGAAAAGGTTGAAACCGCAAGCAACGTATTAATTTGCAGTGGATGCAAATTGTGTGGCAGTTTACGCTGCGTGTAGTTTAAGTTATGAGTAACTTGGGTCCGTACGGAGGCGGCTCGAAAAACGGCCCTTGGTCGCGAGCCCCCACGACCCCCAACACCAACATCCAACAGCAGCTCATCAACCAGGCTGCTGCTGCCGGCGGCATGAACAACCTCAGCAACATCAATAGCATGACCAACATGAATACACTCAATAGCAACATTGTGCCCTTCCAACAGCAGCAAGTCTTTCAAAATATGGGCATGCAGCAGCAAAATCTTGGCATTGGTCTGCAGCAGATGCCCAACACGGCTGTGGGCCTCGCTGGTGCGCAACAACTCAACAATCAATTGTTCCAGCAGGTTGGTGCTGTGACGTATCCGAATCCACGCGCGTTAAACGCCGCCGCGTTTTCCGCGCAAACCCAACCACCAAAAGCCACTCAGAATGTGCAGCCTGGTGCAAATCAGACCAACGCGACGCAAAAAGTCTTCACCGGCACCGTTACGACGGTGCATGACAACTTTGGCTTCGTTGATGAAGATGTCTTCTTTCAGACATCGGCTTGCGTCAAGGGTAGCAACCCTATGGTAGGTGATAGGGTATTAGTAGAAGCCCTATACAATCCTCGCATGCCGTTCAAATGGAACGCAACGAGAATCCAGGTACTGCCCATGACAGGTGGCGGTGCTGGAGGCGGTGGAAATCAAAACCAAGGAGGACGCACTGGTAAAAATTACAATTCAATAACCAGTAACAATTACAACGCGGTGCCGCCGCCATCGGATAGTAACGGCAGCTTTAATCGGAACCGTCCGAAAGCTTCCGCTGGTGGCAGAGGCCGAGAAAGGTCGAGAGATCGTGACCGCGATGACGATGACATCGAGAGAAAGAAAAGACGCGAGGAGCGGATGAGAGAAAGAGAAAAGGAGGATAAAAAGTCTCCTTTGAGGAGAAATAGGTCAAGGAGTCCTAAATCACGTCGTAGAACTAGAATTGTACCTAGATATGTGGTACAAATACCGAAAATTGCTCTAGATACGTAAGAATATATTTAATGTAAAAAAAAAAATGCCGCATTTCTTCATGTTATGTATGTGTTTAGATCGAATGCTGATGTTTTGGAAGTACGCCGTCGTTATGGCAACTTGTACATACCGTCCGATTTCTTCAACAGTAACTTTCGCTGGTTGGATGCATTTCCGGCGGATAAACCCTTCACCTTGAACAAACCTTGCGCATTTCACATTATGAACAAGGATGTCGATGGTGTTGCGGAGAATGACGCTGTTTTGGAGCCTCCTGATGCTGATTATTTATTTTCAGCTAAGGTAAATATTGACATTTTAAATTTGAGCATTTTTAATAATGTATAAATATTTTTAATAGGTAATGCTGATGAGTGTACCCGGAATGGAAGAAATGTACCAAAAATGCTGTGTAATGGCAGAAGACAAAGATCGCCGTGATAGAGACAGCGAAGAGAAAGATTCGGTGCATCCGACGCGACTGATCAATTTCCTGGTTGGTTTACGTGGCAAGAATGAAACAATGGCTATTGGAGGCCCATGGAGTTCTTCACTGGATGGCGAACATCCAGAACGGGATCCGTCCGTTCTTATACGCACGGCTATAAGAACTTGCAAGGCTTTGACCGGAATCGACTTGTCCAACTGCACGAAGTGGTAAGTACCTTTTGAATATCACTCTAGCTGTGCAGTGTACAGCCGATCGATTCGACTCTTCACGAGGGCAGAGGGACGCACGGCATCAGCATCGATGTGATTTTGTTTGTAGTTGTTTAGCTCGATTCCAGAGCCGTGTGTAAGTAGCGCGGCGTGCGGCTCTAGTGCGATGCCGTCCTGTCACAAACATATTTTAGCGATGTACGTTATGACCGGCTGACCGGTATGTGTTCCGATAGGTACCGCTTCGTGGAGCTGTACTACCGTCGCGGCGACGCCGACGGCCGGAGCCATCGGGGCGGCGCTGGCGGTGGCAGTGGCAGCGGCAGACAGGGGGCGCGCGTCGAAACCGTGGTTCTCTTTCTGCCGGATGTTTGGAGCTGTTTGCCCACGCGGCTGGAGTGGGACGCGCTGCAGACCGGCTATCGCAGGCAGCTGGAGCGCAAGTTGAAGGCCGGGCAGGAGCAGGACGCCGACGAGCAGCAGCAAGGCGACGAAAAGGCATCTAACTTCTATATTTTATTCTCTCTCCCACCTTTCTCTCTCTCTCGCTCTTGTTTCTCATGTGTGTAGCGCGACACATTGCTGGGCACCGATATCCGGCCCTCCCGAAACCAACCGAGACGCAGAGCGGCAAAGTGGCGGCAAATTAAAGTTTGAATATCACTCTTTTTACTTTTCTAGTTCAATGAGCAGTGCGCGCGAGCGTGCTTAACGTTAGAGTCGTGTTAACGCTTCCTCGTTAACACAGTGTCACTTGTTGTCTGGTTGAATGATGAATGTGTGTCCGTGTTTGTCCGTTCGACAAGTGTCGAGCGCTTCTTAATATGCTGTTTCTGGTTTAGGAAGAAGAGCCATCCACGGACAAAGTGGAACCGACGCACCACTCGCAGTTGGATCCGAAGACGATGTCGGTGGTGGACTTGCGCAAGGAGCTCAAAGCACGCGCGCTTAACAGCAGCGGGCTGAAGTCGCAACTGATCGCAAAATTATCGAAAGCACTGAAATCAGAAGCATCCAAAACCGAGGACGGCAAAGAGGACAGGGACTCCGACAAGGAGGAACAATCTGACGAAGGAAAATCCGCGGCTGAAGAGAAAAAAATTGATGAGAAGGAGAGACAGCAACTAGAGAAAAAGTACACTCTACCAGAGAGTCAAGCCATTTTGGTGCATCCATCGAAAACGGCGAAGAGTGGCAAATTTGACTGTACTGTAATGTCACTTTCTTTATTGTTGGATTACAGACCTGAAGACACCAAGGAACATTCCTTTGAAGTGTCTTTATTCGCCGAGTTGTTTAATGAAATGCTTATGAGAGACTTTGGCTTCTCAATCTATCGCGCTCTATACGATCTTCCGGAGAAACCCAAGGAGAAAGAAAAAGACGATAAGAAACGCGAGAAAGATAAAGAAAAAGATGAGAAGGATAAAAAAGATAAGGAGCCGAAGAAAGATCGCGAAAAGAAGGATAGCATTAAGTCAGATCATGACAGCGATGCTTCCGACTTCGACGATGACGACGACAGTAAATCTCGAAAGGATAAAGACAAGAAGAAACGCGAACGTCCGAAGATGTATACCAAAGATCGTCATTTGCTACTATCATTTGGTTATTTTGACCAAACCCATTGTGGGTACATCTTTGAGAAAGACATTGAAGAACTGTTGTATACTCTCGGGTTAAATTTATCTAGGGCTCAGGTGAGAAAACTGGTAGGCAAAGTGATCACAAGAGATTCGCTTCACTACCGTAAGTTGACTGATAAGGTTAAAGAAGAGGATTTCATCGTTATTGATGATTCGGAGAAAGATAGTAATTTGGAAGAGTTAGCTGCTGGAAATAAAAAATTGCTTCGAATATTTTCCACAGAGAATAATGAAATACCTGCTGGTGCCAATGATGAAAGTAAAGAAAAGACAAATGAAGGTTTTGTAATGTTTCGTGGAGCATTGGTTGATGTTGGGAAGCTGTTGGCTCAATTGGATCGCAGCGAAAAGGCTAGATTAGATACTGAGGCGAGAATGATGGAAATGAAGGCCGACAACTCTAAGTTGTCTGATAAGTATCAACGTGCGAATGGAACTGTTAAAAATCTCAGTGTTGACTTGAAAGAATACAAAGAGAAGTTAAAAGTTACAGAAGAAAGTCTTCATAGAATCACGGTAAATATTTTGTTCTTTATTCCCCCGCCGCACTAGATAACAATATAATGTTTTGTTTCAGAGTTGTTCAAAACTATTCCAGGCTACACTAACAGAGATTCGCGATAAAATTGAGCCTGTGTTGCATAGCACATCGACAAAAGAAGAAAAAGACAAAGACAGATCGCGCGATAAATCCCGCGATCGCGACAGAAAGGATGAGACTAAGTCACGGTGGGAAAAAGATTATTCACACTCGAATTTCAATTCAAATTCGAGTTCAATTAAATCAGAACCTAAAACACCAAAAGATAAAGATAGGGACAAGTCAAAAGAGAAGTCCACCGAGAAAAAGGAGGAGAAAGAGAGACCCGAGGAAAAGCACGAAGAGGAAAAACTATTAGAACCAAAAGAGGAGGAGCTCAAAGAGGAAGAGGATGATATCGGTTTTAAACCGGAAGTGATTGACGAGATCGGAGACGTCGAGATGGAAAATGATGCAGGATTGGAAATCATTTCAGACGGTAAATGGTAAGTCGAATTCTCTTTGTTCTCTATTAGCTGATTGCTATGCAATGGAGAACAAATGAACAATGTTAAGCAATTTGAATGTATGGACACCATTGTTTCGATGAATTTACACATTGACAATTATATAGAATAAAACGCTCAACAAAAGCAACCAAGATTTTTGTGGTACGCGAAAGATTAGTTTACAAGAGCATATGTCCGTTTCATTATCCCTAACACCAACATGAAATCATTTATTATTAATTTCTCATTTGGGAAATAAATATTTATTATTTGTTTATTTCTTTAGTACATAAATATCTGAGTAAAATACTAATGATTATGTAAAAATCAATTTTGGCTAGTCGCATTACTTCCACACTCGAGTTATTACCAACATAAGCCCAAAATGGAGTTGATCAACAATTATATTCGTACGGATGCAAACGTACCGACCCAAAAAATTTGCTGTTTAATATTGTCGCATTTACGCCCGCAGTGATATCGTTTTTGTCCGGGCTGCCAAGTTCAAAAACTAAGTCGACCTGGTAACCGATAGAGGGCACTGTGAGTATTAAAAGTTGGATTTCTGATTTTGTTATGCTCTACGTAGCGTTCATAGAGTGTGTTGTGAGTGTAGTAGTGTATTATCTACTTTGACTTTGTTGACACTTGCACGCCGCGCTTGTTGTTTTCTAGACAAGAACACGTTTCAACATGTTAAAATTTAGATTCGCTCTTACGTTCAGTTTGCTTTTACCATCGGTTGGTTTGTGCGCAGGGACTCAGCTCGCTACTTGTGATTTTAATTCGGTAAAACGTGTTTATTCATTTAATAAAATGTAGTAGTTATTTCATGGTAACAAGAACCTATTTTGTTTTGGTAATATAACGAGTGCTGGTGTTTCGAATACTCGGGATGAATATACTAATACAAATTAGGTGTTCTTAATTGATCTGTGCGTGTGTGGCTTCCCAGCTTGGAACAGCCATCGAATAACTTCAAATAACATCAAAATGCCGGTAATTAATGCGATATTTTTGTAGTTATTTTTTGTTGATATTAATATTGAGATTATTTAATTAAATGTCACGGGTACGCAAGGTCTGGGTATGGGATTTTATAGGAATGCTATTAAGAATATTGTGTTGTATTTATATTTTTACTTTTAACCCACATATGCAAACATACTCTTATGCCAGTATGGTATGTCTTCTGATATTTTTTGAAATTAACTTTTCTCATTTATTTCTTATTTGGTCCGCGTGAGAGTTTTTACTTCGCTTGCATTAAGCTCTATCTTGCACCCTATTGACACATCATTTAACTTATGATTTATTTAATTTTCCGATCATACTATTCATCTACTTTTCACGGTGCCACAGGTAAGCTGATAGTTAAAAATCATAACATACATGTATACGCGAAAAACTCAATGCAATTATTGCAATGCCTAAAGATGCGCTTACAACATCCTCAAGCATTTGTTAATCCGTGGGAAAGTAAATTAACCATCGGATTTCACATGATTTTTACCATATTTTTTACATATATATATATAGTACAAGTCTTGCTGTTATTGATCCATTATTGCCGCCCAGCAGAAATCATTCGCAATGTACCTTACAATACTGGCCGTGGGGAGCGGAAGTGAGGATAGTTTAGCGGACTGCTAGCAGTTTCGGGCCGATTGTCAGCTGATACAGTGGCTGATTCGCGTTCTTTACTCGCGGGTCTGCAGATACATTTGTTTTTATAGTGCCCTACAAAAATGATCAATTTTAGGAAAATTTGAAAACATGGTGTCGAAAACACCCTGTATCTAGTGAACTATTTGACTTTCTTAGAGTTTCTCCACGTCAGAATAGAGTTAGAGAGTTTCTCTACAAGATGTATACCCTCCAATCTTTCAGCCCCTCCGAAAGTGCCGTATAATGCTCATCAAAAGTTGACAATTTTATAAAAATTTGAAAACTTGATGTGGAAAACGCCCTGTATCTCGTGAACTAATAGATTTTCTTAAAGTTTCTCAACGTCATGTTAGAGTTCGGGAGACCCTCTACCCAATGAACACTATTTTAACTTTATACACTGTTTGGAAGTGTGTTTAAATACCCTTTATATATCGCTATTTTTGTCTAATAAATTTTATTTTTCGGTCGAAAAACAGGGTCGAACTTTTATTCTTAAATTTTTTTCGGTTGAAGAACAGGGTCGAACTTTTTTTGGTAACATTTTTTTCCGGTTGTTGAACAGGGTCAATCGTTTTTGTTACATTTTTTTCGGTCGAAGAACAGGGTTGAATTTTTTTTTTAATTCAATTTTCGCATTTTGAAAGATTATTTAATTAATTAATTTAAGTAACTATTTTTCTATCATTCCCCCATTAGGTTCTATTTGAATTTTAATGAAAAAAATGGTTTTCATATGCCAATAGGGCCTTAATCTGTAATAGGGATGTTGACTATTTTTGGGAAAGTGTTTTAAATCGTGCATATGTCCCTAATATGGTCCCAAATATTTTTTATTTTTTATTTAAATACGTTTAAAGCCTAAAAATCATGTTTTTAAAATTGCGTTTCAAATTTCGTTCCAAAACGCCAATACCTTGTCACGTGATCGCTGTGACGCCACATGTTACAAAACCGAGGTTACTGTTGCATTTCACCATATGAGCAGGGAATGAAACAGCATGATCACGAACTTCCACGAGTACAACATGTGACGTCATGCACTCTGAATGGTGTTCGTGGTCACATGACTTGAGAGTGATTTTGTTGTATTTTATATTTATAATATTTAATAAATTACGTAAAAATAAGACAAAATATTGTGATTTTCAGTAACTCCATAATAGAAACTATCATTTTGTGTAAAAATTATCTTTTTATTTGAATACAGTCAACATCCCTATTGTGTTATTAGTTTTCGATTCAGAATTAAATTTCAGAATTTAATCGTATATAAAAGATCCATGCACAGTACGGGTACAATTCTATTCATGTTCTGCATTACCACACTGAAAGTGTATTAGTGTTTACAAACAAACAAGTTTTCTTATCTGTTGCAATTTTTGTGCGGTCGCCACGCGATTGGCTTGCGTACCACGTTAGTCTTATTTTTGTCATCAGGTGATCTGCACGTACACTTTCTTCCTTATTCTTGAGTTCCTTAATTTATCTTCGCGTTGTTACGTAATATTTTTAAATATTTTTTCGATTGTGCGCGTAATGTTCGGTTTCGTTAAACGCGGATTGTATATACGCAGAGGTAAAGCGTGAGTAATGTTCCGTCGGATACTCTTTTGCAATATACGCGTATTTCATTGTTCCTACAAGGTGCACAATTAAGGTCCTAGCAACTAATTGGATATGCCAAACCCAAAAATTTATTTTGCATCAAGGTATGTTCTTGCATTTCTTTAGTCATATGAAAATCAAATTTGTTATTGATTTCATCTGTTTCTTACTTCAAACGCGTGGTCTTTAAGCAGGCAATTAATTGTTGTTTTTGTTTCAATACCTACCGTTGATTCGCATTACGAATTCAATACATTGTTTTGTTTTCGTTTAATGTACGAATTAAAGAGATTAAGATTGTCGCGTGCCGTCGGCTGCGTTTTTGATCCTATGCCGTGCTTTTCCGGGCTGGTCGGCAGTTGTTTTGCATGATTTAAAATAAAATTTTGTTTTGTGCTTTATTTTTGTAATATGTAAATGTTCTATTTTTATGTTTTCTTACTTTTCACTTTTCTTTAATTTCCGGTGTAAACATTTTGATTTTTTTAAATCCTGATGGTTTTCTTCTTATATTATTTTGTTATTGTAGCCTTCTTAATTGTTTCCATCCGTTTTCTTACTTAAATCTTAATTTTTCTTTGAGTATCACCTAGTAGATATATTCTGCTTATCATTTAATAGACCATATTTATTAGTGCTTGGGCGTTTTACGTTTAAAACTTAGTTTTCTTTTTGTAACACCCTGTATATTAATTTCCCGTGGTGAATTTGTCAAAAGGATAAAGATGTATGTTATCCCATTTGAACTTAGGATTTTCCTTTAAAATATTGTAGTTTTCTTTTTGTATCACCTTGCCTTATAGTTTCCCGTACTGAGTTTGTCAAAGGTGGGGAAAATATATGTTATCCCACTTTAACTCAGGATTTTCCTTTAAAATATTGTTGTTTTAGTTTCTATATCACCCTGTATATTAATTTCCTTTGATATTTGACTGTGGTTTTAGAGATATATTTCCCTACTTGAACTTTGCATTTTATCTTAAAATTTTACTATATTGTTTTTGGAACACCCTGTATAATAGTTTTCCGTGATTGCCGCGAAAATGATGCAAAATTTGTTAGTATTATATGTTTTTCTTTGTTATTTTTTAGCCTTGGTACTTATCTGCATGTACGGGCATGCGCCTCCGGCGCTCTGGTCGATCGATCTGTTTTCTTTTTGTAACGCCCTGTACATTTGTTTCCCAGAGTAACGGTGAAAAACGAGCGATATTAGAGTGTTTAGATGTTTTCTTGATGTCTCTGCACTTAAAATTTTTCTTTTGTAACACCCTGTATATTTGTTTCCATTTTCCATCACCTAGAAAATGGGCAATTTGCTAATTTTTTTATCCCGGTAGAATATTTTGACGTGTTACTTGCTTACATGTACGCAACGATGCAGGTCGAAAGATCTGTGTCAATATGGCAGCATGTATTTTGTTGGCTTGTAAAATCTAAACTTGTATTCTATTGTTAATAAAGAAATAGTAAAATATATTGACTTCTTTGATTTGTGTACCCCTTCTATCATTTCAGGAACAGGTCTCAAAGAGAATTCCCTCTCTCAGGGGATGATCCCCACTATAAAAATTGTTAAAGTACCTTGTATGACTTGTGTACTCCTTCTCTCATTTCAGGTACAGGTCAGAACTTGTAAGAATATTTTTAAGTGTCACCTCTCTTGAGACGACTTAAAACTTAGAAATATTCTTACAAGTCCTCATAAGGAATGTCCTTATAAGGAGTTCTCCCACTCGGGGGATGATCCCCCACCATAAAAATTGTTGATATGCCTGATAATTCCGGGGATGAAGCGCAGAGACATCGTAGCTGTAGGCTGGGCCGGGAGCAATGGACGGATCGAAGCAGTGGACCGTAGACTGTCTTATAACGACACGTGCCAAAAAATTTAAAAATCTGATCCTCCCCTGTTCTCTTTCTTCTATCTCCTCCTCTTCACAACTCTACTCTACTCTCTGTTCTCTTCCTTCTATCTTCTCCTATTCTCTACTACTCCTTCTGTTTCCTTGTTCTCCGTTTCACTTGCTCTTGCTTTCTTATTTCTTCTCATATTACCATCACTTGTATTTCAATTTCTCTTATATTTCGTTGCAATTCATATATGCAACCCAAATTACACCTGATATTTTTATATTTGAGAAAAATGCCTTCCACACCTGAGATTCGATCCGTGTCTGCTAGCATGCCAGCAGGTGCACGTCTCCACTCGACCACCGAGTGTTTTTATTGTTGTTATTTGATTCTTCTATTTATGTTTCTACTTTTAACATGTTTTTAAAAACAACAACACAATTCAAGTAACAGTTAGTTATCTTATACCCGCTGATCACACATAACACTTATATGCCATATTCTTTAAAACAGAAAACGACAAAGAGGATACAACAAAAAAATATGAATGAGATTATAATTATACATTGTGTTTTATTGACAACATTTAACAATAGTTACATTACAGTTACAAAATATCAACAGCTAACAATTTCTGCCCCAATAAAGGTGCAATCCGGATTTAGCGAAGCCGCACATCACGCGCGCACAATACAAAAAGCATTCAAAATTATTACGTAACAACGCGAAGATAAATTAAGAAACTCAAGAATAATGAAGAAAATGTGCGTGCAGATCACCAGACAACAAAAATAAGACTAACGTGCTACGCAAACCAACCGCGTGGCGATCGCACAAGAATTGCACGAGATAAGAAAAACTAATTTGTATGTAAACACAGACACTTTTAGTGTGGTAATGCAAAACAAGAAAACTTAGTCCTTCCAACATAAAAATGCAATTTTGGAGGTCAAGTTGTGAGAAAATCACAAAAATTATTTAGGAAATTGATATAGAAACTTAATACTTACTATCTGATGCAAGAATGGTTCTTCTACGATATCAGACCCATGGGCAAAATCCCTAAAACCAGCAAAAATTAGTCCTTCAAACATAAAAATGCAATTTTGGAGGTCAATTTGTGAGAAAATCACAAAAATTATTTAGGAAAATGATAAAGAACTTTAATACTTACTATCTGATACAGGAATGGTTCTTCTACGATGTCAGACCCATGGGCAAAATTCCTAAAACCAGCAAAAATTAGTCCTTCGAACATAAAAATGCAATTTTGGAGGTCAATTTGTGAGAAAATTACAAAAATTATTTAGGAAAATGATAACGAAATTTATTACTTACTATCTGATGCAAGAATGGTTCTTCTACGATGTCAGATCCATGGGCAAAACCCCTAAAACCAGCAAAAATTAGTCCTTCCAACAAAAAAATGCAATTTTGGAGGTCAATTTGTGAGAAAATCACATAAATTATTTGGAAAAATGATAAAGAAATTTAATACTTACAATCTGATGCAAGAATGGTTCTTCTACGATGTCAGACCCATGGGCAAAACCCTAAAACCAGCAAAAATTAGTCCTTCCAACAAAAAAATGCAATTTTGGAGGTCAATTTGTGAGAAAATCACATAAATTATTTGGAAAAATGATAAAGAAATTTAATACTTACAATCTGATGCAAGAATGGTTCTTCTACGATGTCAGACCCATGGGCAAAATCCCTAAAACCAGCAAAAATTAGTCCTTCGAACATAAAAATGCAATTTTGGAGGTCAATTTGTGAGAAAATTACAAAAATTATTTAGGAAAATGATAACGAAATTTAATACTTACAATCTGATGCAAGAATGGTTCTTCTACGATGTCAGACCCATGGGCAAAATCCCTAAAACCAGCAAAAATTAGTCCTTCGAACATAAAAATGCAATTTTGGAGGTCAATTTGTGAGAAAATCACAAAAATTATTTAGGAAAATGATAAAGAACTTTAATACTTACTATCTGATACAAGAATGGTTCTTCTACGATGTCAGACCCATGGGCAAAATTCCTAAAACCAGTAAAAATTAGTCCTTCGAACATAAAAATGCAATTTTGGAGGTCAATTTGTGAGAAAATTACAAAAATTATTTAGGAAAATGATAACGAAATTTATTACTTACTATCTGATGCAAGAATGGTTCTTCTACGATGTCAGATCCATGGGCAAAACCCCTAAAACCAGCAAAAATTAGTCCTTCGAACATAAAAATGCAATTTTGGAGGTCAATTTGTGAGAAAATCTCAAAAATTATTTAGGAAAATGATAAAGAATTTTAATACTTAATATCTGATGCAAGAATGGTTCTTCTACGATGTCAGACCCATGGGCAAAATCCCTAAAACCAGCAAAAATTAGTCCTTCCAACAAAAAAATGCAATTTTGGAGGTCAATTTGTGAGAAAATCACATAAATTATTTGGAAAAATGATAAAGAAATTTAATACTTACAATCTGATGCAAGAATGGTTCTTCTACGATGTCAGACCCATGGGCAAAATCCCTAAAACCAGCAAAAATTAGTCCTTCGAACATAAAAATGCAATTTTGGAGGTCAATTTGTGAGATAATCACAAAAATTATTTAGGAAAATGATAAAGAAATTTAATACTTACAATCTGATGCAAGAATGGTTCTTCTACGATGTCAGACCCATGGGCAAAATCCCTAAAACCAGCAAAAATTAGTCCTTCGAACATAAAAATGCAATTTTGGAGGTCAATTTGTGAGAAAATCACAAAAATTATTTAGGAAAATGATAAAGAAATTTAATACTTACTATCTGATACAGGAATGGTTCTTCTACGATGTCAGACCCATGGGCAAAATTCCTAAAACCAGCAAAAATTAGTCCTTCGAACATAAAAATGCAATTTTGGAGGTCAATTTGTGAGAAAATCACAAAAATTATTTAGGAAAATGATAATGAAATTTATTACTTACTATCTGATGCAAGAATGGTTCTTCTACGATGTCAGATCCATGGGCAAAACCCCTAAAACCAGCAAAAATTAGTCCTTCGAACATAAAAATGCAATTTTGGAGGTCAATTTGTAAGATAATCACAAAAATTATTTAGAAAAATGATAAAGAAATTTAATACTTACAATCTGATGTAAGGATGGTTCTTCTATGATGTCAGACCCATGGGCAAAATCCCTAAAACCAGCAAAAATTAGTCCTTCGAACATAAAAATGCAATTTTGGAGGTCAATTTGTAAGATAATCACAAAAATTATTTAGGAAAATGATAAAGAAATTCAATACTTACAATCTGATGTAAGAATGGTTCTTCTACGATGTCAGACCCATGGGCAAAATCCCTAAAACCAGCAAAAATTAGTCCTTCGAACATAAAAATGCAATTTTGGAGGTCAATTTGTAAGATAATCACAAAAATTATTTAGGAAAATGATAAAGAAATTTAATACTTACAATCTGATGTAAGAATGGTTCTTCTACGATGTCAGACCCATGGGCAAAATCCCTAAAACCAGCAAAAATTAGTCCTTCGAACATATAAATGCAATTTTGGAGGTCAATTTGTGAGATAATCACAAAAATTATTTAGGAAAATGATAATGAAATTTATTACTTACTATCTGATGCATAAATGGTTCTTCTACGATGTCAGACCACTGGGCAAAATTCCTAAAACCAGCAAAAATTAGTCCTTCGAACATAAAAATGCAATTTTGGAGGTCAATTTGTGAGAAAATCACAAAAATTATTTAGGAAAATGATAATGAAATTTAATACTTACAATCTGATGCATAAATGGTTCTTCTACGATGTCAGACCACTGGGCAAAATTCCTAAAACCAGCAAAAATTAGTCCTTCGAACATATAAATGCAATTTTGGAGGTCAATTTGTGAGAAAATCACAAAAATTATTTAGGAAAATGATAATGAAATTTATTACTTACTATCTGATGCATAAATGGTCCTTCTAAGATGTCAGACCACTGGGCAAAATCCCTAAAACCAGCAAAAATTAGTCCTTCGAACATAAAAATGCAATTTTGGAGGTCAATTTGTGAGATAATCACAAAAATTATTTAAGAAAATGATAAAAAAATTTAATGCTTACAATCTGATGCAAGAAGGGTTCTTCTACGATGTCAGATCCATGGGCAAAATCCTAAAACCAGCAAAAATTAGTCCTTCGAACATAAAAATGCAATTTTGGGGATCAATTTGTGAGATAATCACAAAAGTTATGGCATGGGCAACATATTGTTACTAGTATTGCTATAATTTTTGCTTATTATTTGCATATTGCTTTAATTTGACACTTCTATACAGGCCCCCTACGCGAGTTAAAACTAGACAACAACAACAGTGCGGCCAATTACCAAATATGTACACTTATCCGCATTACCACCCACAAATATAACGTAAACTCGTCGCATTAGCGCAACAACAAGCAATAATACGATACAGTAAAAATCGTGAAGCGATTAAATGTGCAATACAATGTAAACTCTGGATAATCTTTATAATGACGTTGAAATATGTACTCACTGAAATTCATTGTTGTCCATGCCACTATCACATTAACATCTCAAGAAACTCGATTAATACCTATGAAGATAGACTCAAAAACAAAACACGTGCTCACGACACCACCGCGCACGACCCACTAAGCAGGAAAAAGAATTGTTAGCCGACGTAAACATCTGGTTGGGGACACCAGGTAGATAATTGTAGTATGGTATACTTTTATTATTTATGTATAGGTATATCAATTAGTTTAATACAATTTGCATTTTTAATACAAAAATTGGTTTTTACATGTCAATAGGGCCTTAATCTATAATTGTGTTACTGCATTCAATTTAATTTATTTTCGGAATCCAAAAACAAAATTTAAAAAGTAAAGCACAAATCCAAATTTAATTTTGAATCATGTAAAAAAATTGGAAAAGTGCAAACAAGTAAAGTCAATAATAGATTTGATTTTCAAATGGCTGAAGAAATGCACGAACATACCTTGATGCAAAATAAATGTTGGCGTTTTGGTATATCCAATAAGTTGTATGAACCTTAATTATGCATATTGTAGAACCGATGAAATACACGTATAATACAAAAAGAAAACGGCGACCGACGAAACATCACTCACACTTTACCTCTGAGTATGTACAATCCGCGTGGTACAAACGCCGCACATTAATCGCGCACAATCGAATAAGCATTTAGAAACTCAAAAATAATGAAGACAATGTGCGTGCAGATCACCTGACGACAAAAATGAGACTAACGTGGTACACAAGCCAACCGCGTGGCGATCGCACAAGAATTGCACGAGATAAGAAAACATGTTTGTTTGTAAACACTGACACTTTCAGTGTGGTAGTGCAGAACATGAACAGAATTGTACTCATACTATGCATGGAAACCTGATAGATGTTTAATTGTACATCTTTTTTGATATCATTAACCGTTCAGACTCTATTTAAAATTTTAGAGAAAAATGCATTCGTTATTCGTATGTTCTTGGCATAATCGCCAAAAAATTCGACTGCTCTTCGACCGAAAAACATTTTAACAAAATAGTTCGACCCTATTCTTTGAGCGAAAAAGTTTAAGTAAAAAAGTTCAACCCTCTTTTCCGACCGAAAATATTAACAAAAAAATTCGATCGAAAATTTTTAGGTAAAAAGGTTCGACCCTGTTTTTCGACCAAAGAAAATTTTAACAAAAATTCGAACGAAAAATTTTGAGTAAAAAAGTTCGACCCTGTTTTTCGACCGAAAAAATTTTAACAAAAAAGTTCGACCCTGTTCTTCGGCCAAAAAATTTTAACAAAAAAGTTCGACCCTGTTCTTCAGCCGAAAAATGTTTACAATAAAAGTTCGAACCTGTTCGACCAAAAAATGAAATTTATTGAAAAAAATAACGATATTCGAAGGGTATTTTAAGACACTTTCAAAGGGTTTATAGGGTTAAAAAAATATGCATAGTGTAGAGGATCTCTCGAATTTTAACATGACGTTGAGATACTTTAAGAAAATCAGTTAGTTCACGAGATACAGGGCGTTTTCCACATCATGTTTTCAAATTTTTATAAAATTCCCAACTTTTGATGGGCATTTTAGGGCACTTCCGGAAGAGCTGAAAGATTGGGAGGATATGTAACGTGTAGAGAAACTCTCTATCTCTATTCTGGCGTAGAGAAACTGCAAGAAAGACAATTAGTTCACTCGATACAGGGTGTTTTTCACACCATGTTTTCAACTTTTCATAAAATTGCCAATTTTTGAAGGGCATTTTAGGACACTTCCGGAAGAGCTGAAAGGTTGGGAGGATATGTAACGTGTAGAGAAACTCTCTAACTCTATTCTGGCGTAGAGAAACTGTAAGAAAGACAACTAGTTCACTCGATACAGGGTGTTTTTCACATCATGTTTTCAAATTTTTATAAAATTGCCAATTTTTGAAGGGCATTTTAGGGCACTTTCAAAGGGCTTAGGGGATAAAAATAAAATGCATCTTAAAAACCATTTTTTGATCTAAAACATGGCGAAGAGGAACTCAAGGTAAGTTAATTAGTTCAGGAGATACAGGATGTTTTCCACACCACCTTTTCAAAATGTTCATTGAATAGTCAATTTTTGAAGAGCATTTTTGGTTACTTCCGAAGGGCCTAGGGTATAAAAATAGAATGCATTTTTAAAAGAGTCTCTTGATCTAAAACATCGCGTCGAGAAACTCGAAGTAAATAAATTAGTACAGAAGATACAGGGTGTTTTTCACATCATGTTTTCATCATCGAATATTGCGCTTATTGTATAATTTTATAAATAAATCACTCAATGAAAACAAATCGTTTCACTTATTTTTAATATTTATAAAATCTATTTACCATTTATAATTTTTGTTTTGGTATCACAGAACTTTATCATACTCGTTCTTACTAAAAATCATTAAGAACCTCCCTCGATCAACAAACATTGAAAATACATTTGAGATAAATCAATAGCATTACATAAATCATAATTAAAATTATTTAAAATACATACATTTAGACACACGACGACACAGACGAATTGTTGGACTGGTGTCTTTAGGGAAAGTTGAAGGATACTGCTTAACGCTGAACTTATTCGCTGAAGTTATTATGTACTTACTACCTTGATTGAGCAGGGTGCTATGTACGAGTATGATTGGAACTGTCACTATTGCTATACGTTACATCTGGTGCGGTGCTATTGCTACTATTGCTCGCAGAAGAAGTGTTCAGATTGCGTTCGACGTCCGGATCTAGCACTCTTTCTCTTGATGTCCGCAGTGTGCCTGGCATTTGCTGATATGTAGATTTCCAGGTGCTAGCCGGTCGGGAGTAGTCCAAATGATCGTATTCCAGTTCTAACAATTCAAAATTCAATTACATTTCAAATTTTATGCACACACAAATAGAAATAGTTTAGTTTCAAGGTAATAGACAAATGAGAACGATTAATAATTTATGTTCTATGCTACAGATATGCTTTTGTTTTCTGTTTAGTGTAGCACTTACTTATTTGTAATACTTCCGTAAGTCAATACCTGCCAACAACCACCCCAAAGCAGAAATTTTTAGAAGCAGATTCTTTGACTACTGTTTTACAAATTGTAGACTCACCTATATCCTTGCAATCTTTCTGCTGGATTTCGTCGTAGACGTGATCGACCTTCTCGATGCTGTTGTAAATATTCGGATTGGTTGCATCCGCATCGCGATTTTTAAGTGAATTTAGTTCTGATGAGCGGCCACTGTCATCATCGTCAGTTGAACATCCAGGCGCAGCCATACGTTGGCGGTGCAGATTGTTTTGCTTTACCAAATTATTTCGCACCAAAGTCGCGTTATTCAATAAACTAATATCGTCGCCTTTGACTGGAGCGCCATTTTGATACGAGTAGACAGGATTATCAAAATGATTTCTATCCGCTAAATATAAAGTGCATATTTGAGTAAAACATCATTTAAAATAATAAATTCAGATATTTTTTTTTAGATTTTAGCTTACCCGATGGATAACCAGTCGCAAAACCATTCTGATTTGCTATATATTGTACATGCGCAATTTCGGTACGTAAATTGGCCACCCGACGCTGATAGTAATGCCTAATTGCAAATATGGTTGCCACAAGAATAGCCAACAATAGAAGAAAACCAATCACAGTACCAGCTGTCCAGCCGCCATCATCCGAAGTTGTTATTCGCGGTGATGATAATGATTCGTCGCAGTTTTCCCCGGTGAATCCCGACTTACAAATACAACCTCTAGCCGGGTGGCATTGGAAGAAATCGCTTCTACAGTTGCATGCCTCCATACAATTATCACCGTAGTAGCCCTCAGCGCAAACTGTAATCCACATCCATTTTTGTTAACTCGAATTAATGTTGATTAAAGTTAACACTTACGATTTTGACAAAAACGTCCAGTCCATCCATGTGGGCACTTACACTCGCCATCATTAACTCGGCACTTCCCTCCATTTAAACACTTGCAGTGTTGAGTGCAATTCTGACCGTATAGCCCGTCTTTACAGACCTGGTCACATTTCTCTCCAGTACGGCCAGGAAGACACTGGCATTTACCAGTCACATGGTGGCACTGCCCGCCATTAAGACATTTGCACTTCTGTTCACAGTTCTTACCAAATTTGTCAAAAGGACATGGGTGTTCACATGTGAGACCTATGTAACCTGGTCTGCAGATATATTCACCAGTTACATGATCACAAGTGCGATTATCTGAAAATCAGAAGAATAACAATTAAAATTCAATTAAGGATTTAATAATGTTTATGCATGTTACCTTTGTAAAGTTCCGGACAAACTTGCTTGCATCCAATGCCATAGAAACCATTATCACATTTCTCATCACATTCCTTGCCTTGCCAACCCCTTGCACAGACACATTCACCTGTACTTGCATCACATGACGAATTATTTTTACAATTACAATCCAATTCACAATCCTCTCCATATTTTCCAAGCGGACAAGTTGATTCACATCGTACTCCTGAAATTATAAGGTAATTGTCATCACGCGTTGCTAAGATTTGATTAAAAATGTACTACGACTAAAATTTTTATACAGAAACGGGTGCAGGATCTAATGTTACCTTTCCACTCGGTCAAACAAATGCATTTGCCGGTGACGGGATCACATCCCTGTGAGTGCCCTTCAACGCACTGACATTTTTGTTTGCAATCAGGGCCAAAATATCCACGCTCACAACGCATTTCGCAATGCTCACCGAAATACCCCGGCCCACATGTGCAAGTGCCTATCGTTGTAAAACGTAACAGATTCGAAGTAAGCATGCAGGGTAACGCAATGTAACCAAAAACATAAAAGAAAAACAAACGCAAATTAATACAAAACTGTCCACTGGATAGTGCTACAGAGGGTGCTACCATTTTGCGGGTTACATGCGCCGCCATTTCTACACGTGCAATCCTTGAGACAATTGAGGCCATATTTGTTGCTGCTGCATGGCCGATCACAAGACTGTCCCTCCCAGCCTTCGGTGCAGATACACTGTCCTGTCTCAGTGGAGCAGGCAGCACCATTACGACACTGGCAAAGATGTTTGCAATCCTCGCCGAATAGACCCGGTTCACATGGCCGCTCACAGCTCTCACCAGTGAACCCGGACGCGCAGATACACGTGCCATTAACGGGCGAACAACGCGCACTATTTTGACATGTGCAGACACCACCACAGCCCTTACCAAATGTAAGCAGCGGACAAGATCGACCACAGTCATCGCTTACCCAACCTGCTTTACACTCACACTCGCCCGTCCACGGGTGACACAGTTCCGTGTTCTCTGGCACACATTTACAATTCTGTTTACAGTTAGGACCGTAGATGTTGTCACCACAATGGCGAGATGTGCAATTGCGACCTGTCCACCCTTTTGTGCACGTGCATCGCCCGTCCGCCTTGGAACACTCGGCGTCGTTTTGACAAGTGCATTTTGAAACACAGTCTACGCCATACGTACCGTCAGGACAAGTATCCAAGCACTAAAATGATCAATACTGATTAAATTTCCAACATAAGTTTAATATTTTAGAACTTACGCGATCTCCCCGGAAACCTGGTTGACACTCGCAATCTCCAGTCACGTGGTGGCACGAAGCACCATTGAAACAATCGCAGGGTTCCTACAATTCAAGCCCCAGAATCCGAAAGGACATCGATTCGCACATACTGATCCGGTCCAACCAGCGCGACAGTAACAATCGCCTGTTTCCGGATCGCATGTGCCGCCATTTTGACAACGGCAATCCGATTTACAATCATCACCATGTTTACCCATTGGACATAGATCTTCACATCTGTAATCATTAAAACAAAACGAATCAAAACACGTTGTAAAATATTTTCGGCAAATCATACAAAGGTCCTCGCCATCCTGGATCACATTGACACTCTCCGGAAATATGATCACATTTACCATGCTGACACATACACTTCTCCTCGCAGCCCTGTCCGTATCGTCCTGCAGGACACTCCTTCTCACAATTCTTCCCAATATAGCCTCTTGAGCAGTGGCAAGATCCATCAAAAGGATCACATGTTGCATTATTTTTACATTCGCAGACTTTCTGACATTCACGGCCATAAAAACCACTTGGGCAAGCTAAAAATATAAATAAATCAAAAATGCGTCAAACACAACGTCAATATATATATGACTCACATATATCACATTGCGGGCCGCCATAACCAGTCTCGCACTTGCATACTTCCGGTGCCACACAAACGCCATGCAAGCAATCCTTGGAACAAACTGGAATACAAGAAGTTTCGCTGGCATCCTTCGTATAACCTTTACAACAATCCTCGACTGGTTTATTCTTTACAATTGTCTGCGTTTTGTAAATAGTCCGGAACTCAATCTTATACTTTGAACAACGCGGTGGTACATTTAAGCACCATGTGTATGTCCTCACTTGATATGGTTGACTTTCTGATATGCGCACTGTTATTGTTTGCCTGCACAAAACATAACCATGTTTAACAACCCACTTAATATAAATCCATTGTACTTACGGTTCCTGTCGGACGCAAACATTAGGTCCTTCCAGTAAACCATTAACGTGACTTAATAAAAATATAGATAGCACTGCTAGTGTTGTCCAAAATGGCGATGGCGTCATCTTGGCTGGAGTGTTTGATTACAAATGAAGGAAATTATATAAAATAGTTTTAAAAAAGGATAGTTATCTGGATGGCAACATCCGCTTCAAGGTTATTATCACTTCAGTCGGCAGTTGTGATAAACCGTATCATTGTCTGTAACAAAATAATGTAACCTGAGTACAGTTTGAAGCTGTTAAACACTGTTGTAATTCTATACGAATGTTTAATGTGAGTTTTAACTTGAGAGTAGGACACTTAACGGGACTTTGTTTTCTTGCGCTTCGCACGTCGATTATTTACGCAGCGAATTTATTAATTCACAAATTGAGTACCTTAACAATTAGGTCAATTCCTGCGCATGCGTTATAGTTATATAGTTATAGTTATGTTCTGCTTGAACAGAGTATGTATATATTTGGTCCTGTATCATTTCAATCCACTTGAAGTGGTTAAAATATTAAAAGTTAAATGAGTGCGTGATTCATCTTCATGGCTGTGCGGGCGCATTAAACTGTGGACGTGAGTTCACAGAGATTGATGCATTTATTGTTAGTGTTACGAATCCGGACATCTGGTTTGTGGTTTTGTTTTTGAATCATCATGACCGCCAATGCGTAATGTATGCATTAATTGCGCAAATTATAAATAAACCGCAGCAATCGTACAAACTTTTTATTCAAAAATCTATCTAAGGTTAAAAGGAATGCTAAAAATATATAACTTAATCCTTCATTGTTGTAAAATATTTAGCAATGAGAACAAAGCGATTTCGTTGTTAAATTTATGACTTAGAAAAAAACGAGTGTGTTCATGTTCAAGTACTGCTTTTGTGACTTCATGAGTCTGCGGTCGAAGTCGTTCATCGAGTTGAACGACCAAACGATTAAAAATTCCAAACAATGGGCACGACGTGAATATAAATACAATATCGAAACCCGTTCATGTTCTTCAACTGATTGTACATACGTTTGGGTTTCAAAGAAAAGGGTTTCTTTGCTTCTAAGAAACTTTAATATCGAAGAAAAGAAAAAAGCAACCTCGAGCCACGTTAAATTTAGCACTGGTAGCAAAATAATCAACAAATGTCAAGCGTAATTTGAGCGTACGACACACGTGCGACACACTTTATAAACAGCGAAATTTATAGAAGCGAAAACAGGACGCCAGAACTGTGGAAATTAATTTAGTGTGTCTTCTGTCGCGGTTTGTGGTTACAAAATTGCAATATAAAAAACGTTAGCATATGCACTCGGCACAAGTTGCTTGTTTTTGTTGCTTTTTATAATTTCTACTCTCAACAAAGCTGTTGAGCAGATAATAAGTGTCATGTTACTCATACTTCTTATAGTCTTTCTTCGCGTCTTGTTGTTGTTATGACTCGAGGCTTCTGGACAGACTTCTGGTGCGTTGCATTAGCGTCCAGCCGTAATATGCGTAATTGAGACACAAGATGTTTTTCATTCCGGCTGTAATTCAATAATAACTCTGCCAATGAGCGCGCAGTCTCGGCGTTTGCCTGCATTGCTTTAAGTTGAAGCTTTGTGCATCCAGCGATGCGTTTGTTACATTTCCTCATTACGTGCATTGCAAGGAATTAAATGTTAAAAACGAAACTATAAAACCGTTGTGACCTCGTGCGGTGTATAAAAGGAAAATGTTGGAATGGCGCTCATGGCTTATCACGGAACTATTCATTAATGATGAACATTAGAAACAAGTCAAATATTATGCACATATTGCAATTTATTAGTCTTTAATGCAAATAAATGCATCTTAGCGCCATCTCGGAGAGATTTATATGACTATTCCTATAATTAAATACCACTTTTCAAACATTAATCCGCTGTTTTCCACCCTTCAATATTTTCATAATAAAATGTATCACATGTCCTTCTCAATGAACCAAACTATCTCAATACCAAAATTCAATAAAATTGAGTTAAAGGTTTAGTCGTGAAAAGTAAACAAACATACCTAGGCTTTCACAGCTATAAAGTTGAAATGGTTTAATACTTTACAAGTTTACGACTGTATTTGTATCTGAAAGCTAATATTTTAACTTCGTATAGTATATTCTGAGATTCAAGTGAAGTGTAATGCGTTAAAATGCATATAAAGTGGCAGTTGTTATTTGGGGCAAGATCACCACACGGAATCCTTGCGTCGCCGACATGAGACACAATACCTTCAATACTGTGTGAGTAAAGACTAGGTTAAAACTTTGCAGGAACATGTACGAGGACTAGATTCCACGTTTTATGAGGTCAATAGTACCTACAATATGAAATTACACGCCATTGAAACAAAATATGTCGGTGGGTTGGTACATGTCACCAAGAATTTCGAAAATGCGATAATGAGTAGTATAATGTATGCTGAATATTAATCATGTGCAGTGCAGACACATTCCTTTGCGTTAATGACAAATGTAATTAAATTTGTATGCCATTCCGTGTTAATTATACAACAAAAGTGGTTCGGTATTACATAATTTGAAATTAACTATGGTGAATCAATTAAAACCAGTACTAGATAATTTTTGAGTTTAATATATTCGGTAATTTAATTATTGAAGCTCCGAAAGTAATTATCATGTAGCAAGTTCCTAATAACCTAATTAATGACCAATTATTGCCCATATTAGTCATTCATGATTTATATGTAGGTATAATATTAAGTAGGTACCAGGAACATTAATGTGTAATGGTTAAATGACTTGTTATTGTTGAGGTGATAACACTATTTACCTTCGACAAATATTGGCAGTAGAGCACTGATAAATAACCAATAAAGTATAAACGCACCATACAACTTGTTGAAATAAGCATGATATTCCAAGAAGTGCTTGTTATCATAATTACACAGAGAGATACAATAATAAAAATTAAAAAGATAAAGAGATATCTCCGTTTACAGCAAATATTATGAGTGCATCTTAAACAATTAAACAAGATAGTAGAGTTTCAAAGTAAACTTAAAACTTGATTTAAATTTTAACTTGAGAAGTAGATATATAGGTAGGGGAGAGGGGGGCAAAGTGGGCCCCGTAAGCGAAAAAAGGGGATTTGTTTACCATTTTTCACTCGTTACCCTATTTTTTACATCCTTGTTCAGTATTCAATATTAATAAGCCATGTCTATCAAAATAAAAAAAATTCAGAATATGGGGCAAGTGGGCCCCCGCCCATAAAAATTTTGCTATTACCTTTGTATCCATTTTTTGCTTATATATTTTTTTTTTCATTTCTTACTTCGAATTTGTTGATGTGAGTTATTTTCCCCTCTTATTTATCAAAAATTTTAGGGGGCCCACTTTGCCCCTCAATTTTTTAAGCCACCTGAATTTCAGGGGCCCACTTTGCCCCCAGGGGCCCACTTTGCCCCCCCCTTCCCCTACTACTTTTAGAAATATGTATTTGGGTGTTTCTATAAGATTATTTCGTGATTCTTTATGCTTTGGAAGTATTATGTTTACTTTTGCCGGTTATTTTCTTTTATTTTGGAACTTAAATACGTTGAATTTAAAACATTTTTATGAATCGCAAAATCTGTTGATAAGCGCATAATTCAACAACGCCTAGACCAATTTGGCCCATTCCTATTTTAAAATGTTCGTTAAAGTCCAAGGATGGTTTTTACGGCGAGATAAATTCGAATAATTGCGGGAAAACCCTAAATACAGCTCTTTCTATAGGATAAAAGTGCGCATTGAGATTCAATCATAGTTATAATTAAATAGTTGAATCCCAGATGGCGCGTTGAAATGCATTATTAGCAATTCTTTATATAATTAATTTCTTCATAATAAAATTGCGAATCTTATTGATAGAATTGACACATACTATGTCTAAAAGAAGAGAGTAAAAACCAATTACATTATTATTAAACACTACCGGGACGAAGTCGCGGGCAAATGCTAGTTGTGGATAAACAATAGAGAACCGATATTATATAAGATACATTTCTTGCAATTCTTCTATTTTCTTTCTTTATATAGGTAGTTCTAAACGTTGCGATTTGTAAAAAAAAAAGAAAATGCATACGCATGAAAATGACAAAATAACAATGTTGCAAATCTATTATCATATGGGGGACGAAATGGAACGATCAGGAAATCCTTCCCAAGCGCAAGTTGCGCTTGGCTGCAAACCACTACCGCACCAACGACCAATTGACACAATTGTCAGCAGCGTTTCGCACGAATCAGCTACTTTATTATCATGACAGTTATATATTCGAATGGAAGCAATACAACTCCAATACTTGTACGTGTCACATATTTTGATTGGTAATCAAAATATCGATAAAACCCAATGAAATTGCAAAATTGAAGCGATAAATCATTGTGCTACTTAAATATTGCAATATTTGTATTTTCTTCAATTCTATTCTAGGTTAATATTTACTCGTATATAGGCACTACTACACTCATAAATTAATAGAATATTATCTTTGTTGATTAATGTTTATGCCGTTGCTACACATAATTAACAATTAAGTTTTATGGAGGCATTGAGCCATGAAATGTCTTTCGTCAGCGACCCACAAGTGCATTGTTGACCGGCATGAGGGTTTCCTATTTATATCGTGTTTTACGACCAACGACATGAATTAAATCTATTAGAAATTGTGCCTATGGAATAAAATACTCGTTGTTCGTTGTTAGTGCATAGCGTTTAGTCTAATATATAAGTACATATTTTTCTGTTTTGATGAGCGATTCAAAGGTGAAAGTTTGAGTGAAAAAAACATTTTCAGTAGAAAGTTAACATGTCTATAATCACACAAAACACACCCCTATGGATTCGCTTGATGAACACACTTCCCGTATATTTATGATTGTATTAATTGATGTATTATTTAGATAAATTTACTTTAATTATATATAAACCAAAAGAATATTGTACTTTTCTTTTCTTCATATCAACCTGTGAAAATATTAAATTTATTGTTTTTATAACTGAATTACTTACTTACTTACGATTTATTTTTAGGTGTGACTCAAATAATTTTACAAATGCTCTCAATAAAGTGTTAAATTTAAAAATTGGATCAAGTTAAGCGGAACCTAAATTTAAACTTGACTTTACAACGTTGAAAATGAAGTTCATCTTATATTAATAATTATAATTTTACATTGCGCACACAAATCC